GAGATATTTGGAAGGAAGAACTATAATTTTTGAAATCATTATTTGGCTGAGTATTTTATTCCTGAGTTATTTCTAGTATTATTTGCTTTATGTTGTTATGGATTGTTGTGTACTATTTGTTGTGGACCCGACCTTGGTAGAAGCTCGTCACTACTTTTAACCTACGGCTAGGTTTGTTACTTACTCAGTACATGGGGTCGGTTGTACTGATACTACACTTCTGCACATTGCGTGCAGATGTTGGCTGTTGTTGTTGCTGTGCTCGATGGTTGCGGGACTTGAAGATGTACCTGCGTTCCTGTTGTAGCTGCCTCTTGTTCAGGGTAGCCTTAGATTTATAAAAGCTCTGTTTATGTATTATTCAAACAGACTATGTATTTATTTCATTTCCGCTTTGTATACTCTATTCTTAGAAGCTCATGATTTGTACTACCAGTTCTTGGGGAGATGTATCGGTTTTAGATATTTTCTTTTAATAATTTCATTAGAATTGGATAGTTGGAAATTGGCTTACCTAACAGGTTGGGTTAGGTGCTATCACGACTAATAGGATTTTGGGTCGTGACAGATCACCTGGTAGAGAATCCCGTGGATGGATAATAAGAACCATTGAAGACATATTTTCCCGACGAGGAAGTGTCGTTTGTAGGCGAAGATATTGCCGAGGTGTATTATGGTTGGAGGATGTTTTTCGATGGAGCAGCCAACTTCAAGGGAGTGTACATCGGAGTTGTTTTAGTATCATAAATCGGTCAACATTATCCGATATTCGCAAAGCTCAGGTTCCCATGTACCAACAATATGGAAGAATATGAGGCTTGCATCTTGGGACTCAAATTGGCCATCAACATGAATGTTCGGGAGTTGCTGGTAATCGGAGATTCAGATCTATTGGTACACCAAGTACTAAGAGAATGGGCTACCAAGAACACTAAAATATTTCCATACCTACATTGTGTTCAAGATTTGATTAAGAGGTTCACGAAGATAGAATTCAAACATGTTCCAAGGATTTAGAATGAGTTCGCAGATGTATTGGCTACCTTGTATTCCATGATACAACATCCAGACAAGAATTTCATCAATCATATTCTGATTGAGATTCATAAGTAGCCACCTTATTGTGCTCATGTTGAAGAAGAATTTGACGGAAATCCATGGTTCCACGATATCAAGGAGTATTTAGATAAAGGAGAATGCCCAGAGAATGCTACACACACTCAGAATCGTACGCTCCGAAGATTGGTCAACCACTTCTTTCAGAGCGGAGGAATTATGTATAGAAGGACTCCTGACTTGGGGTCGCTGCGATGTGTCGATGCCAAGGAGGCATCTAGATTGCTCAAAGAAATACACGCCGGAACCTGCGGACCTCGTATGAACGGGTTCGTTTTGGCCAAGAAGATATTAAGGGTAGGGTATTTCTGTATGACTATGCAGAAAGATTGCATGAAGTATGTACAGAAGTGCCACCAATTCAAGGTACATGATATGATTCGAGTGCCGCCCAACGAATTCAATGCAATGAGTTCATCCTGACCTTTCTCTTCTTGGGGCATGGATGTCATCAGACCAATTGAATTTGATGTTTCAAACGAACATATGTTCATTTTGGTGGCTATAGATTACTTCACAAAATGGGTTGAAGCCGCTTCCTATAAGGTTGTGACTAAGAAAGTCGTAGCATATTTCGTTTGGGATCGTATTATTTGTCGATTTGGAGTACCTGAGTCAATCATTACCGATAATGCCGCCAATTTCAACAGTGATCTGATGAAAGCCATGTATGAAACATTTAATATCAAGCACCAGAATTCTACAGCGTACAGGCCACAGATGAATGGAGACGAAGAATCCGCCAGCAAGAACATCAAGAAGATATTAAGGAAGATGATGGACAACTACAATCAATGGCATGAAAGGTACAATATTCTTTGCTTGGGTACCGCACCACAGTTTGTACGTCAACTGGGGCAACACCTTATTTACTATTCTACGGTACTGAAGTCGTTATACCCGCCGAGGTGGAGATTCCTTCCCTAAGAATCATACAGGAGGCCAAACTCAACGATGCGAAATGGATACGGGGCCGGTATGTGCAACTGGCTCTTATTGACGGTGAGAGGATCAACGCAGTGTGTCATGGTCAACTCTAACAAAATATAATGGCAAGGGTTTTCAATAAAAAGGTTAGATCGATACAATTCACACCGGGGAAGTTGGTGTTGAAACGAATCTTCCCGCATCAGGACGAAGCAAAAGGGAAATTCTCACCTAATTGGCAAGGCCCTTACATGGTTCACCGAGTACTGACAGGAGAAGCGCTTATACTCGCGGAGATAGATGGATAAATATGGCAAAAACCTATCAATTTGGATGCAGTCAAAAGATATTATGTTTAAGATTATGTTTGCACTTTCTCTTTGATGTAGTGAACTATGCTTGACCTGATTCCCATTTAAGAGGGAATACGTAGGCAGTCCTGTAGGTTCGGTCACATCATAATAAAATCTTCATTGCCCTCTATGGTCAGGAACTGGGGCAAGATTTCGAGTTTTGTCAATCTTATTAAGTCAAAGATCGCCAAGAAGTGTATCACCAGAAGTATGCATTAAACTGGGGAAGAATTTTGAGGAGGGTCCTCAAAATTCCGAGTTGAGGAGGTTGAAATGTCTCAAAGCGTGTCACAATCCCAGATTCGACAAAATTAGTTATTTTATGCACCATCACATATTTTGAATAACTACATGTTTCACAAATGATTTATCACAAGTGCATATTTTCGAAAATTTCATTTCTATAGTAGCTAGGTGTTACCCATGATGGCTCGAACAAGGCATCAAAACAAGGAGCAAAGGCAAAATGAAGAATCAAAGGCACGGACCAACCTTCCCCCCCCCCCCCCAAAAAAAAAAACTCACGATTTTTCTTTGGATGCAGGCATAACCGACATGACAAGCATGTCCACAAACACAACAAGAATGCTATCTCCACTGATAGAAGTCACCAAGTACAAATGCATCAAGATAAGAATCACTTTATTTCTCATATTTAATCTTCACCTTTCTCTGTATGAGGCTAAAACCTGCCTCCATTATTGCATAGGGCTAAGCAATGCCCTCATCATGGCATAAGGCTAAACAATACCTTTCTCTGCATAGGGCTAAGCAGTGCCCTCATTCTTTGCATAGGGCTAAGCAGTGCCCTCATCATTGCATAAGGCTAAGCACTGCCTTTCTCTGCATAGGGCTAAGCACTGCCCTCATTCATTGCATGAGACTAAGCACTGTCTCTATCATATTGCATGAGGCTAAGCACTACCTTTCTCTGCATAGGGCTAAGCACTGCCCTCATTCATTGCATGATACTAAGCACTGTCTCTATCACATTTCATGAGGCTAAGCACTGCCTCCATTATTGCATGAGACTAAGCACTGTCTCCATCATATTGCACGAGGCTAAGCACTGTCTTCCCTTGCATTAAACTAAGCACTGTCTCCATTACATTGCACGAGGCTAAGTATTGCCTCCATTATTACATAAGGCTACCGATGCCTTCCCTTACATGAGACTAAGCACTATCTCCATTACCTTACATGAGGCTAAGCATTGCCTCCATTATTGCATAAGGCTAAATGTTGCCTTCCTCTGCATAGGGCTAAACACTTCCCCATCACATACAAGGCTAAGCGCTGCCTTGTCTCGTTCTCACATACAACTGAGCATCAGCTGTTCCCACTATGAAACGATCGATATCTCTGCATCTTTGCATTTCATGGCCTGAAACATCGCCACATTGTTCGAATGCGTCATAGTCTGAAGGCACCATCCTCATAGCCCGAAGATATCATGCCATGGCCTGAGGATATCTTCAAACTACACATCATTATTCAAAGGCGTCATAGTCTAGAGGCACCCTCCTCATGGCACGAGGACACTATTTCATGGCCTACAAATCTCGTATCATACGATTCATGGCCCAGGACGTCATGGTCTAAGGACATCATTTTCATCATCCAAAGACAACACTCATGGTCCGAAGGGAATTTGCATCATGTTTAATGTTTCGCAATAACCCTATATATTCGCGTGCATCGTGTCTTAAGTTTTGCAGGTGATGCAGGAGGTAACCGTTCTACAAACAAGAGCAATTCTCGCTTCGGTTTCTATTCACAATGTTCACATCCTTTGACTATCTCAAACATAACCAACGACCGGTAATTGATTACTCTTTATTCCGTAACCGCCCAATTATCTCGGATATATGCAACATTCAAATTCGCATTCATAGCTCCATCCGAAATTATCCGTAACTCACGACACTATCCTATCGAAAAGATCCTTTTCGAAACACACGACCACTCTTATAACAACCCCATCAAATTCGTTCGTCGTTGGATCTAGAACTACACGCGGCCTGATTCCCGTAACACCAGGGATATGTAGGCAACTCAAGAACTAGGGTTCGGTCCTCAATTTTTTTTTAAAAAACACATCATCTCAATAATTTCGGACAAAATTGGTCATTATTTTCTTTACCCGACAACTCTTTCATCATTCTCGGGTAAATAGGGCAGATATTGATACCCATCTTTGCCCTCATATTTTACAAATATCATATATATTTTTCAAAATATCATTTTTTGCATCATCGCCAATTTACAAAAAGTCATATAAGTATTTTCTATAAATTTCCATAATATTTAAGGATTTAAAATTGAGTTTCTTGCATTTAAATTGTTCAAATATTCATTAATTACCCTTTTCAAATTATTTTGTGATGACTTAATCATCCAAACTTATTATTTACACCCACATATATATTTGATAACATTTTTACTTCATTTCATATAATTACATTTGTATTTTTAGCTATTTATACAATTTTGCAACAATAGCCTATATTCTATACATAATTACATTATTTACATTGTTATACTAAAATAGCATTTTGTTTATATTTTTATAATGTTGGGCTATTATTTTCAATCCTTTTACTGCATAAATAATATTTTTATTATTTATAAATTATTTTAAATTATTTTTGCATATTTAATTTCATAGCCTAATTCTAAGCTAATATCAGACTAAATTAAAGTCCCAAACATTTAGCCCCCTTCATTTAAAGCCTCAACAGCCCAACCAAATGACCGGTTAGTTCAACCCGCCCCGTTTACTATTTAATCTTGACTGTTGATCTCACTGATCAACGACACATAATGAACCAGCCATTCTCCTTATAGCTCCCTAACCCAAAACCTAGAGACAAATCCTCTTCCCAGTCGCCTCCATTTTCTCTCTTTTCTCCTCCTCCCTCCTTCAGAAACCCTAGCCGCCTTTTCCAATCTTTTCCAAATCAGATCAAATCATGGATTCTTTATGTGATATACTTACCTTTTACGCATTACCTCGTTGTTATCTAAAATGCTATGGTGTTACTTAGTACTTTCCCTATTTTGGCAAATACCAATCTCCGAATCAAGGGAAATCGTCTTCACCCTTCGAGATTTGGATGATATTTCGTCTGTATACACTCATTACCAGGCCTAGGGTTTTCAAAATTTTCTCCTAAATTGATTCTAAGTGAATTTGCATGCTTCTCTTTCCTTATTTATGTTCGATAGACTATATTTAGTCTTTTATGTGTTGATATTTACTACAATATAAACCCCCTTCCCTGTTCCCCTTTCTAAGTCGGGACTACTATTTTTTGACTACTATTACTATCACTATTCTCTCACTCATTCTATATTATTCTGAGACCTCAATTTTGGCAGGCTGAAAGCCAAGGCCATCGGACTCCGACTATTTCAACCTCTCTCAGTGTGAGCATTGTCCTAGGTTCATCTGAAGCCTTTGGGAACTCTGACATACTGAGAACATTGGGGTTCAGGTGCTCTCTCTACCATTGAAACATTACTGGAACTATTTTGCTTGTTTGATTATTCACGACTAATAAGTTTCCTTGGCCACAACAATTTTACTCTCTTTGGTTGTATTATGTGTTCTCCTAATTCATGTCCCTAAAACTTCTATGAAGCACTACTCTACTATGCCACTTTGTTTGTAACTGCTCTTACTCTAAGGTCTTTCTTATGTCTCAATACTGAACTTGCCTGGATTCTAGTCGTGAGATGAATTTTCCATATGTACTAGCATGAATGATTCTCCATTTCTCCTAAACTTGTTTATTCTACTATGTTATGTTGATACCTGAGGCCAGTCCTAAGTGTTTTTCTATGCCCTGCTATGGATTGTTAAAATAGTCTGGGAAATATTCTACTAAATCATTCATGCCTAACCTGCTGCCTCTAGGGTTCTACCATTCATTACGACTTGTTCTCGAGTAATTTATGTTTTATTATGTGTTTGTTGACGTTCCTCAGTATTAGTTAAACCTTTAGAGTACACTTTACAACTAGCCTTTTCTATATGTGGTCAACCATTGTTGTATCTGATGCCTATTTGCCTTACTTCTAAAATCGATGTGCTTCTTGTATTGTGACTGATGATTAGCCTACTAAGGTTCTCCCCTGCCCGGTCAAGTGATTGTTCGATCATATATTTGTTCTGTTAAGTTGTTCTCATGTTAGAACCTTCATGTTTAGGCTATACTCTACTAATTCTCCTAGCTTTCATGATCAAACCTTTTTTTAAAGTTGCTTTAGGATGGTTCTGACCATGTTATTGTTTGAAACTTTATTTGAAATAGTTTGCTATCACATGATGATCAATATTGTCCCCTAGCTTCTAAAATGCAAACATGAACTTGCCTTATGTATGCCCTGCCAATATGTCATATGAGTTTGTCTATATGTCTTAGTGAGAATTAGTGTTACAATCCTAAGAACTAAGTGTTTCGACTTCTTGCTCTGTTTAATTAATTCAGCATATAGTTTGTTGCTTGTGTGGTCAAGTTTGACATCTTATTAGGATGTAAGTCATTCGTTTGGGCCTGGTGTTTGGTCATATATGTTGTTGGACTTGGCCGTTGGATTCAAACTTACTATACTGTTCCTATGAGCTGTGGGATTTGGGTCTACTGGTCGTATGAAAGAAAAGCTATTGAAGGCCCAGAAAAAGCACTAGGTTATTCCATGTTGGGCCTGTCACTGTTCTATTGGGCTTATAGTTGTTTCCTTCTGTAACTGTTCATATTTTAGTTTGTATTATTCCATTTGGGCCTGTAATAACTTGTAATAATTAATAATGAGAAAATTAGTGGAAGGGGCAGAGGGTTCTAATTCTTGCATAAATAGCTAGAAAATATGTCTATAGGATTTAATTGTATTGTTTGCTATTTATTTCACATGCTTTGATTCTATACACTAATAGAAATCATGCGTATATGAATCACATACTTCACTTAGCTTGTCTAATACTTGTACATTATTCAAAGCATTCTAGTTTAAGTTATTACTATACCTGTTTCCATGCCTACTACTGCGCTCTCTTAGACAGCATGCCTAAAGGAATCAAACGTCTTGCTTAATTATTAGACAACATGCCTATAGGATACAATAACATATATTTTTGTTAATACTCATCTAGATAACATGTCTGTAGGGCTTCAACTAATCAATTAATCAGTCGCTTCTATTACTTTTAGTACACTGCTCATCTACATATCATGACTATAGGATCTTAATCAACTAATCAGTTACTTTATTTCTTTATTGTATTGCCAAATTTAGATGACATTCCTATTGGGATAAAGTGTTATAAAATCAATTTCAATTGTCAACTGTTAGAAATCCTGCCTGTAGGATACTGTTACTCGTCTGAGACAGCACGTCTATAAATCAAACGTCGTTAACACTGAGTTTCGAACAGTCCTACTGCCTCATTGCACGAACAATGTAGATGTCATGCCTATAGGTTTGTAATACCTTTAATCTGCAAATCCGTTAATCTAAAGCTGCAATGCTGGAAGTCAGAATCATGCCTATAGGACTTAATGCTTCTTAATTCTAAAATTATTTACTGCCTAATTTGCCCGCGTGCATTTGTTGTTTATGTGTGGAGGTTAACTTGAGCCTTTTATTGTCTTTGTGTGAATTCCTATATGTTTTGAATATGCGCCTAGTTTTATTATTTTGAGAATCCTAAGTAGAGTCTAGAACCAACAAATAGTAGGTCCTAAAGCCTCCTGGACCATAGGCATGGGAAGGGGAGTGCACGCATAGGACACGACCCAGAATTGAATTAGAGCGCCTTTAAGTAAACAACTTTAATATTGTAATCGGGTAGCGGGAGATGATGGTTTGTGCCCGCTGAATAGTATGAGCAACCCCTACCTTAAGGGAGTTGCAAAGTATTATTTATGTTGCATGGGGTGATCCTTTAGGGTAAAAAACCTAGGACCCCCCCCCCCCC